CCCTTGTCCAAAAGACCAGAAATATTCGAAAGTGAAAGTGCACTTGATGTCCAGGTGAGCCTGGAGGAGATGACATTCACTGGGGAATGGATTCCTGCTCCAACTTACCTGCACTTTCTCATTAATCATTTAGGTTATAAAAGCAAACATTTTCTAGGGTACTGATCTGTTACCCTTTGCTTCAGAAATGCTTGTTTTTTCCTTCATGTATGTTCCCTGATTTCTTTTTTCCAATAGCAGTCCAGCCTCAGCAGCAGGGGTAGAAAGGCATGCCCCAGGTTAGGAATAGGAGTAATGGCAGGGCTAGGGGTCGTGCTAGGAAGCAGTTGGCTGCAGTCAGCATTTCTTCTGCTTCTCTGAAGAGGTAAGTGTCTTGTTTAAAGTCTCCTTTCCCACTCATCCAAACAGATGGAGGAAAGAAATCAGAGTACTTTTTCTTAATTTTTTTTCCCCCTGAGCTGTAGCATTAAGTCAGCAAGCAGAGGCTCCATGCTCTTGCACTTCCTAAGACAGCTTGATAGAGACAAACTGGAAAAATATCAGGGTTAAGAATCAGTACAAAGTTTTTAAGCCCCGTATAGGCACAGATTCATTGGCATCTTTGTGCCCAGAGGCAAAACTGCCAATATTTAGGTTGCCTTCATATTTTTCCAAGTCACTTTCAGAGCTGTTGCCTGCTCACGCCTTGACGGGTCTGTAGCTGAGTGTCAAAGTTATCCATAGCCAGGTTAAGCCCTGAATAAAACCTGAATAATGTGATCCAAATGGTAAATTAGCAAAACAAAATAAATCAAACAAACAAAACCCACCACCACCAAAACCAAAATCAAATAAACAAAAGGAAGAAAAACTTCCAAAATTTGAGAATTCCTTCTGAAAAGTCTGAACTGACCATTCATGTGAATAGGGCACTGAAGGCATGATTTCTGTTCTACCTTCAACCTCAGGGAGGCTCCTTGCCTGGACCAGCAGATACAAGCTGTTTCTGAGGATGCTGCAAGCCCCACAGCAGCTGGCAGGGTAGGATAAGACTTCTTCCTGCTGTTCCTTTGTATCTGGTATAACTTTCCTATAAAGCAGAGAGCAACTGTAGCTTGCATCTATTTAGTCTTTTGTTATTAAAATTCTCCCTGCCATTTATGTACTTCTAATCCCTTTAAAATATGGCTGAGTTTTTGGTTGCTGTGATACTTACCCTTTGGCATGGATGACCTCCTTCTCATCCTCATGGCACGCAGCTGTTTGCACCGAGCTCCCTGCTGCTGCTGCTCTGTGGTGTTCAGTGTCCTGCCCTAGTAACACAGGGTGTCACAAGTGGTGATTACCTGATTAACTTATGCTAGGGAAGATGCTGGCTCTGAACGGGAGATGGTGAACGCAACATCCCGTGATTCCTAAGAGCTCTATATTTTCCATTTAAAGATACTTAAATGCCAGAAAGAGCATTACAGGCATATGTTCGGGGAATTGACAGAAGCAGGGGTTTGTAAGAACTTTTGTCCCCTTGTATTTAAAACCTGAGAAGAGGCGTGATGAGAAGAGGCGCGAGATGCCTGCTGCTGAGCTATAAAGGCTTCTTTGTGCTGAATCATCTGGCCTAAAAAGAGCTCTGGCTCTCTCCTGCTAAGTGGCCAGTGGTGCTGGTAGACCCCACGGAAACAGTTTTTGTTAGCCAAGATTAGCTGCAGGGAGAGGTGTCTCAGTCCTTTTGCTATAAAACAGGCTGCAAAAGGCACTAAGGGGTGAATTTGAATTTTCTTCTTTTGCTCTACCATGGAGTTTTCCACTTAAAGCTGCAATTGTTTGGCTCCAGACCTGGGACAGAGCGCAAGTCGGTATGGGAGCAGCATGGACTTAATGTGAGTTCATGTGGATGTGGCATTGTAGGGTGCTTGTGGAATCAAGGGGAGGATGCTGCATTTCTGAAGTCTATACTCAGATACAACTTTTTATTACCTTGATGACAGGATAAATTAGCTGTGGGATAAATGTTCATCCGAAAAAAGTAACCTCCCAACAAAAGCAGCCATCTTCCTTTCAACATGCTCAGGCAGTCCTTGCTGTCATAGGCTTCCCACTTTTCTAGAACTTAGTCATGCCTCAGAAAGCTTCATTCAAGGGCAGGTTTTATTGGAATGGACCAGTTCAATAGCATTTTTCTATCAGTGCCTGTAAGACCAGGCTTCCTGGGAGCCCTTGAATATTGCAGCACTCCAAAGAAACTAAAAGCCTAGAAAAAAAAGGTGGTAAATTGCAGTACCCTCACATTTCCTTCACTTTAGTGAAATTCATTGTGTGCACTTACATTCACTCCTTTTTTGTTTTTTCCAGGCAGTCTTAGACAAAGATTGGAGACTGAGTGCTTATCAACTGCACTCCTGGCTCTCCCATCTGGAGTTATATTTTTCAGAGGCAGGACTGGTATTCACCAGGATATGTCCTAGCTCATGGGGCAGGTTAGGTCAGAAACACCTCGTTTATTTAAAAAGTTGTGCTGGACATTTTTCTGAATCTTGGCAAATATGGATGTATTTGTATAAAGAATGTTTTCCACACCTGCTCAGAAGGAGGTTCAATGGCCCATAAATGGGAGTGGTGACCAGAAGATGAGAGACTTCTTGCCCCAAGGCTGGAGGCACCCGAAGGATTGATGAGCAGCCACAATGTAGTAAATTCAGTGAAAGTCCCTCTAGGAAGGTGACTTTGTCCCCTCATAGGCAGGCAACTTCATTTTAAACCAAGACTGATTTGACTCAGTCACGCTCATATCTACACCTATATACTCACGAGATAGATGTATCCAAGCTGTCTGACCAACGTGCACTAAGATGTATATGTCCATCTTTGCAATGACTCTGAGAATGAGAGATAGTGCCCTCATGTCCACATCAAATACCCTGTGTTGTTCTTAGATTGGTGACCTGTGCTGGCTCCGTATGGGCCGTTTGTATCCTTTAGCTTCTGGCAGATACTGCACTGTCCATCCTGCTCCACCTCTGGGAGTTACCAGGATTTACTCCCTGCCCTTCATTTGCTGTGTTCAGAGCAGCAGCATGCTCTGTGTGTGCTGGCATCTTGGTGTGCTTCTCATCAAGGTCCTATCAACACCTGTCACTCTTGTATCATCCACTTACAGTCTCCTGCCTTCTGGTGCCTCATACGCAGCCATTGCCATTCCTTCCCCACTCCTACCAGTCTTCTCATTGCTATTACTATTAAGGATGTTCTTCTCTCATTAGAAGACAGTCAAATCTGTAAGATGTTTTTTTCTGAATGAATTTCTGTAACAGTTTTTTTTTTTGAGGGGGGAATTAGCATTATGGACATTAAAATGCAGGAAATTGTGTACACTTTTTTTAAAATCAGCTGCTTCAAGGGAGAAAATGAGAAATGTTTTTGAGAACAGCTTTCCGTTATATGAGAAAGCAGAAGCTCCATTCCTCATTCTCACACCATCTGTGTTTATTAACCCTAACTATTTTAGCAACAAAACATCTCTCACATCTTTTGTGTAAGCCAGGCTAACAGCATCCACACAACCATCAATGCTAATGCAGAAGCCACATAGAAAAGCGAGGTAAAAAGGGTTTTTTTATGCTTTATTCTAAGCTCCAGAGGCCTAAGAAAACCACCTGAAACTCTTCACAGTTCATGCATAGCACAAGGTAGACTTTATGTAAGTGTATGCATACAACCTGGACCAGCCCTTCGTTGCATCGAACCCAAAATCTTATTTCTAGCAGTGGCCTTGACAGAATAGGCAAGAAAGACCATAGGAATAAGGCAAGACACATACAGTAACTTCCTCTTAGTACTCTCTCAGTCTATAATAATTTTCAGTGTAGCTTGTATGTGTTTAGCAACTCTTAAAGGATTTTTCTCCCAGTAGTTTGTCCTTGAAACAAATTTTAGCATCTCCAACATCCATTGGCAAAGGCTCAGTAGTGGACTGCTTGTCCAGGAGAAGCATGATCATAGGTTATGCTCTACCTTTTGTACTCTGGTTTGGGTCTTCCTGAGACCCAGGAGACAACTCTGTTATGAAAGTGCATTGTGGATGTCTGCAAAGGGGTATCGAAATGAAAATCAGTATTTGAGGCAGCATAATTTATTTCTTTGGAAATAAATACTTCAGATGAGTTAGTTATGTTTTTTTTTCACCAAATACTGATTTTCCCAATTATGCTAAGCCTGTGAGTCTGTTTTTAGAGAGATCACAAACATTTTTAGCTCAAATTTCTGTCATATGGCATATCTCAAGTCTTAGCTTGTTTCTCCAGCAAACAGTGTCTAGCACAGCATATTCATTTCCCACTCCACTGAGTGCATTATGATGCTGAAGTCCAGCAGGTGAGTGTTTCACTGGAGCATATTTACCAATCAGTCTTTAAAGGGAAGATATTTTTCTTCCTGTAATATTCAGATACTACATCTTATTCCACGTTTGTTGCCTATAAACTTCTCATGGTCCAAGGAAAGAGGTTTCTGGGGGAGCAATTGTTGATTAGGATGAACAGAAATTCTGAATGTGCATAAAACACTTCTCCAACCACAGTGTTCAGTCTATGCAAGTCAAAACTGTTCTCACCTGGGGGTTAAGTGATGGGTGCCATGGAGAGCACTCCCCAAGCACCCAAGCAGGAGTGTGGCAAGGACAGGTTGCAGGCTCAGCTCTGCCTGGGGGCAAGCTCACTGGAAGGGCTTGAGAAAAAAAAAAAAAAAGATGTTTATGTTGCACCCATGTTTGGGGTGAGTGATGGGGGCTCATGAGGACTCACAGTGGCAGCCTGGGACATCCCTTCAGTGCGGGGCTCTTCTGGTTTTTGAATGACCCTCTGCCAGGACCAGCTGGGCTCCATCTCTGTTGGAAGGGTGGTTGCTGTCACCCCAGGGCTGAAGGAAATACCATGGAGAAGGAGAAATGCAAGACTTGGGGGGACCTTGGTAATAAGGTAGCAAAGGTAATAAGAAAGCAAAGACACCCTGACAGCTGGGTCTCATTGATTTCCAACAGGTTGGCATTTACATTTTATTTATACATTTAACAGAAAACAGGTAATTAGCACTAAGATAGGTAATAAACCAGCAGCAACATGAATCATACTTGATGTAACATTTACTGTCAGAAAAACTGTGTACATAAGCCCACGAGATATGATGCATGAAGTAAGCATGAAAGATTGCTCCCCAGGTGCCAGTCCCAGGAAGCTCTCAAAACTCTGCCAGCAAATAATTTTTATGTTGTAGTTCACATTCTTCCTTTCCCTGTAAACAATTTGATCTGGATGTAAACCATCAGGAAATGCTACGATGGGAAAAATGCTCAGGACTGTGCAGAGGCCATGCCAAGCTCTGCTCTAGGGGTGGTCAGGACTTGGAGCTATCTGCATGGCTGCCTGTCACCAGAACAGAAGGCTGCACAGCCACACAGCTCTGCTGGGCAGTCCTCTGTAGTGTCCCTCCCTAGGACATGCAGTGGTGTTCAGGACAAGCACTTTCCTCCACACTTGTTTCTACCCTTGTTTTCACCATGCTGTCTGTCCTGAGCAGGAGCAACCCTTCATGCAGGTGGCCACTCAATTCCTCTGTAGGTTGAGCTCTGCTGTGAAGGGCAGATGGGCTTTAAGCCCTTCTAGGGAAGCAGGGTGGAAAATCAGAAGTAGATCTACATAGCAGCTTGTTTTATCTCTTTTGTACATGAAAACAAATAACTCAATGCTGTGATGTCCTTGGGGTTAATATGAGGTAAATAGGAAGGTTGTATTACATTTTTCATCTTCCTTTCCAACTTTTAATCTGTAGTTGATTTACTTTTTTAATGGACAAAACACAGGAGTGGCCCAGAGATGCTCCTGGGACTGTAGTAGGAATCAGATAGGGACAGTGGTGCTTGGTATATTATCTTCAGTTTTAAAATGTTTTATCAATTCCAGATCTGGAAATATGTATTATTTTAAAAGCACAGGTGTGCAGAACCCCTCTTCTGCAGCAAATCTCCTTATCAGGGAACTGTGAAGTATGTCACACCTCAGATTAGTGAACAATTGATCCTTGAACTTTTAGACCACCTTCTATTTCCTCTAATATTAAAGCTCAGTCCAAGCTCATCACATTCAAAATAATTCCTGTTAAACTGCTGTGAGTGTGCTCCTGTACAGCAGCAGGCAGACGTAGGAAGGGCAGGCTGCCTTTCAGATTTGCCTGAACAAGGATCCTCCAACTGCTACAGCTGGGTGGCTGCATGGGAGCGGAGTCCCCTTCCCAACCTGCTCTCTTGCACTTGTGAAACACTTGAGTCCTCTGGGATCTGCAGAAATGGGATTTACCTGATTTACAGCATCAGGACTGCCAGAGAAACTGCTTGTGGGACACTGCAAGGGTAACACCCACAGTGGCATATTTAAAAGCCCCATCTTTGCTGCTAACTGGACCCCTGTGGGAGACTCAGATTTCCTTTCCTCATTTTTTCTTGACACTGGGGCCATTAACTTCTCAACTGCTTTTTGTGTCAGTCCTAGCTTGTACCAGCCTTGCCCTTCCTGGATCATCCCTTCCTTACGCTGGCAAAAGTATCTGTACAACAGTGACAAGAACAGAGCAGCCACCAAAACTGGGTTAAAACAAAGCTTTCAAGGAAGGGGAAAAAAATGTTTCGTTTTAACACAGATCAGTTCCTCAGTCCTGTGGTTCACAATGTCAGGGGAGAGTAAAAAAAAATACAAAGGGAGACTGAAGAGCAAATGATGTGTGAAAGGACAACCTAGACTATAAATGGATGGATGTGATCAGTCTCAGTCACTTGGCTTTAGGCAATATAAAAATCCTGTTTAAGTGTTCAGGTATTTTTGTAGCCTTAAATCACTGTCTCTCTTCTCTCTGAAACAACCTCCAAAAATGGAGAGTGGCAACAGTGGCAGAAGCAAATGGGACTGGTACTCTTGAGTAGGTGTATGGGGGAGCAGCTCTTGCCCAAGTGACCAGCCTCATTCCTGAGCTGCCCAGGAGACCCTGGAGGACTGACATCTCATTTTGTTTTCCTGATTTCCTGCAGCTTGTGGAGACTGAAGTAGGACTCTGGTCTGCTCAAAAGAGTGAGGGTTTAGAGGCTGTGCCAAGTAATATTAGGAGATGTGTGTCCTGGCCTACACACACTGCTTGGACTGGAGTGGGTTTATTCTACTTTGGATTCCTACCTTCAAGATGACTTCCCAAGAGGATGAATTCTGACCTGCAGCTCAAAGGGACAGAAGAAGAAAGCTCCAGCAATGCCAACCAGCCCTTCACTCCCTATATTCCCCTTATGCATCATTCAGTGTTTGGATTTCTGATGGCTCTAGGCCCACTGCAGGTACATTTTAATCTTTGGTATCTGATTTAGACTATTTGACTGGAAAACAAATGTAAGGAGTAAGCTGTCACCTCCAAAGTGTCCTGGCCAAGTGGCCCAGGTTACCAATACTGCTAAGTACAGGTGCTGTTCCTGGGAGCAGATCCTTGTGGGTCCTGGCAGCCAACTAACCAGGTGTTGCTCTTTCTGAGAGATATCACCAGAGATTCCTGCTGGCATTAGGCTATGAAACACAGCTGTGTGTTATCACTGAGCAGAGTGGAGTAGGAAAGTCCCTTTTCAAGTGTGGGATGTTCAAACCAATGCAGGGGGCTGGGAGCAGCCCATAAACAATTTGACCTTCACTCCTGCACAGAGATCACACACCCAGCCTGCTCTTCGTTTCTGAGGTGCTCTTGGTTGAGCAGGTCTATGCAGTCCTCTCCTCAGACCAACTGGAAAATGACTGCAATGCTGTTATAAAACCAAGGAATAACTGAATCTTCTGGAGATGCAGAGTCCTACAGCTCCAAAAGCAATGTAAATTTTTTAAAGGTTCCAATCACTCTCAAAGCATAAGGAAACATGATAGAGATAAATGCAGGGGAAAGTTAGACATGTACTGCAAGGCTGCTATTTTGGAGTATGAATTTACTTTTCAATTAAAAACAAGGTCCTGGAGTTTAGGGAGAATCTGCACTTAGTTCTGGATCCTGTGCCTTTGCTGTTCCTTTTATTTACAGAATAAGTTGCAGAAAGCTGTTGTTATTTTAGACATGCACATTTTTTATCTGAGCATTACTGCCTACCAGAGACTTTGATTTTTTAAAAAATGTTGGCTAATTTTGTGTTTTGAGTAGGAAGTTTCAACTTCACACCAGTGCTACACATGCTCTTCTGCTATCCAGCAGTCTGGGCAAGATAAACCTGTAACCAAGATATTCCTCCACTAATCTCTATGGCTTTTAACAAGATCCTATTATTGCTCACCTTACTGTGGACTTTGAGAAGTTGTGGGGAGTAATCTTCAAAATATCTGGGATGCAGGCAAGTGTCCCTGTATATCCACCCAGCCCCAGTTTTTGGTTTTGCTTTCTAACTGCTGAACAAAGCAGGGAAGGCAGGGCCAGGTGAGCTGCCCGCAGCGATCTCTGCAGCGAGCCGGCCTCTTTCCCCCCAAAACACACTAGCCACCTCTGCTCCCATACAAGATGCCTTCCCAAATCCTCAGTCCCCTCCCAACACTTCTGTAATGTTTGTCCTGTACCAGCCTGGAGCTCGCAGGAGAGGGGACCCTCATGGGCCCCACCCCTTCTCACCCACACTTACAGTGGAAGGGAGTGCCCAGGCAGCGTCAAGGCAGGAAAAGTCTGTGAAAAGCAGCAGAACTAGCAAAGTCTGGCACATCAAAGCAAGTCCTAAAGCAGGCAAAGCAGTAGCTAGGAAAGGTAGTGACCCAGTCCCAACATCCCGCCTTGTCCGTCTCTCCACCTTGGCACAAGGTGGAGGCAGTGGGCAGCGCCAGCACCCTCAGCCTGCTCCACGGCTCATTCATCGGGAGCAATGAGGAGGATTAGCACTTGGTATCAACTTGAGCATCTGCCCGCCTGCCAGGCTTGCTCTTTAAAACAGGCTGTCAAGCCCAGATAGCTGTTGAATCAATATGTGCCTGGTAGCTGTTGATTCTGCCAGCACAGGGTGGGCTGAGCCACTGCACACCAGGAGGGATCCAGGCTATGAGAGAGAGGATGCCAGTGCTGACTCCTCAGTGCCCATATCAGATGACTGTGACAAAGCAGTCAAACGGGAAGACTTCAGGGATTGTGCCTCTGCCAGTCTCCCCTGCCAGTGCCAAACAGGCATGTTTGCCAAGCACAGAGGAGACTGGATACAGTAGGGTTGGTCAGTTCTTTGAATGAGATGTGAAAGCAAGAGCCTCCTCCACCAGCCTTGACAAATCCTTTCCACGTCCTGAACAGACTACGAAAATCAGCTGACATCCAGATCACTGTCTCCTCTTCCACTGGGCAGCTTTTCATGCCCATCCCAAGGCTGCAAATTGCTGTGGATAATAGCTGTGACGTTTATCCAGACCATGGCTGCTTACCCGTGCTTGCATGGAGGGCCTGGTGCTTGATGATCCCGTTGCAGAGGTGATGTCCGGCTACTTGGAGCTCGTGTACTTGGTGACAGCCTTGGTGCCCTCAGAGACAGCATGCTTGGCCAGCTCTCCTGGGAGCAGCAGGCGCACGGCTGTCTGGATCTCCCGGGAGGTGATGGTAGAGCGCTTGTTGTAATGGGCCAGGCGGGAGGCTTCTCCAGCAATGCGCTCAAAGATATCATTGACGAAAGAGTTCATGATGCCCATGGCCTTGGAGGAGATGCCAGTGTCAGGATGAACCTGCTTCAGCACCTTGTAGACATAGATGGAGTAGCTCTCCTTCCTGCTTTTGTGCCGCTTCTTATCACCCTTCTTCTGGGTCTTTGTCACAGCTTTCTTGGAGCCCTTTTTAGGGGCTGAGGTTGACTTCGCTGGCTCTGGCATCCTGAGAAATCTTTCGCTGGGTGTTGGAGCTGCTTGGAGAAAACATGAAAAAAAATCTGATTCTTTTTTGGTCTTCTACAGAGTAATTGTATTGAAAGATGAGAGAGTCTGAGTCAGAGACAAGGAATAACTCTGAATCTGAGATAAATACCCCATGACCCTGTGCAAGCATTTTTGAACTGCCAGCAAGAACTGCTCTGTTTTGTGTATGGCTTTCTGTTGTTTTCTGTTTAAATCTCTATAACACTGGACTTGTCAATATCGCTGAACACAGGCCTAGTTGGCATCTGCTTAGTAAATGTAAGATGGAGGGTGAACAGCTTTCTGAGAAAAATGTTCTAGTTCCAAAGAAAATATTGACTGCAGTATGGATTAAATGAAATCTTGCTGGAATGGGCCAAAGACTGTTGCAAAGTATCACTGAAGCCACCTTATATGAAACTGGTCAAAATAATTTTATGTGGTTATTACAATCTCCAATAAAAACTTTTTTCTTTGCATGTAGGTAGAATTTTATTTTGAGGGTACTTGCATTTCTGTGGCTATTGTTTGACACCATGTATTCCAGTGGAATACAAAAAAAATACACTTTTAAGCTAGCTAGCTGAGCTATAGAAATCTCTCAGTATTCACATTAGCTAGCAAAAAATATCAGAGAGTAAAAAAGCTTAGAGGAGGTGTCAGGAATCACCTGGAAAAGAAACAGAAATGTGAATAGGAGTCAAACATCAAAGTGATTTTGGGCTACATGTTGACGGAAAGAACTGTTTTCTGCTATTTGGTTCTTTCTGCTTTTGACGAGTAAGTCTTCACTGGACAATTTACACCAAACATGCCTGATCCTCCCTCTGAGTTTTTCTTCATTAGGCTACAACCTGCAGAGCCATGATCTGCTGACTGCTGAAAGCAGCTGACTGCTTTCATCCAGAAGTGCAGTAACAAAAAGGCAGTATGTAAACCATCAAAAAACTCTATGCCTCTGCTACACTACAAATTTACATGTGCTTTACTACATGGGTCAAGGGAATAACTGTATTGCAACCTGGTAAGTGGTTTTGTGTTTTAGAGGGCACTTGGAATGCTCTTGAAAGACAAGGCTTCTCTGGAGGATAAGCTTCCAGCATTACTCCAGAGCTTGGGTTTTACTGCTCTGTGTCTCTTTTGAAGATGACCTCAGAATTACAGTCTGCTGGACAAGAGAGACCAGTAGAGAAAAAAGAGCTTCAGAGTTGATGGCACATGGGAAAATGGATAGAAGTAAACAGGAAAGAGAAAGCTGGGACGTGACATTAGGGGCATACTCAAGAGTATCAGAGAGGGACCTAAATGGTGCCTGTGCCAAAGCAATGGCTGCATGCTCAACCCTGCCTCTCCTCCTTGGGAAGGAGCCTGGTTTCTCCACTGCTGCCTGCATTTGCATTTAAAACCAGATGCAGCAGCACTGTTGCAACCAAGTCTATGCAAAGTTCCTGGTTGCTCCATGTGAGAGCAGACATCTTTGATACCAAGGCTGGATTCACATGCCTACATCTCAGTGGATACCAGCTTCTGCTTCCAAACCATGCAACAACCCTCCAATGGCTCCAAATCAGTATGTGAGATGATGCCTCCTGCACTGCTGGCTGCTCTGTGTCATGAGGCACCAGTGCTGGGCTCTGGCAGCCTCATGGTCTGGCAGGCACTGGGCAAGGGGCAATGCTGAGCACTTGAAGTGGGGGATACACCCAGCTGCAAGGGCAGAGTGGCGTTGCTCGGGGTGCCAGGGAGCAGGGAGGCAAGGTCTTCACCGCAGCCCTCCAAAACACCCTCCAGTCTAGAAGGCAAAGTTGGCATCAGTGCCCTCAGCGCTGAGTTTCTGCTCCAGCAAAGCAGTTTCTTCTCCAAAGACATGATTTTCATGTGCTAAGTGTTTCACTCTGCCCCCTCATCCCCTTTCTTAATTTCCCCATGCATTCTTCTCAGAGGTGGCATTTGGAACGGCTAGTGCTAGACTGTCCCGAAAGTCCTGGACAGCCTTCAAAACTCTGACACCTGCCCCCTTAAATACCACATTTTCTTCCTCTAGTGAAATCACAAATTTTCTTCCTTTTTTCCTCTATTTGGGAAGCAGCACTGGGAAAAGAAATCCCCTGCTGCTCTGTTTGTAGACTCAAAAATATGTCTTTTCAATGGAAAGGCATTTTTCCAAGAGAAGGAATAACTGTGCACATGCGTCTTTTTCTCTTAAGCTCATTTCCTGACAAAACCACAACAACTGAAAAATGCAAATGACTACTTCTTAGGCTTTTTAAAAAGTATATCCCTCTAAAATATGCATTCATTCTTAAGTGCACTTGTACTGCAGCTTATAAAAAATGAATATAGTGCCCAAGACAGCAGAGTAATTTCATATGACTCCAGGAAAGGTCACACCTACAGGACACCTCTGCCCATGTGACTGGCTAACACCCACTCTTGGGCAGCACAGCCAGGATCTCGCTCTTCTCCCATATGTGGCCACAGTGATGCTGAAGTTCAGAAATTAGCACAACAGTTTCGGTGTCCTTGCTTCTCTCTACCCACTTCTTTGCAGCTGACTGTTAAACAGCTAAATAACACCTGCTTTGAAAACAGATTGTATTCCTTTTGATTTGTTTGAGCAGTGCCTACCACAAAAAGCTTGAGTGCACTTGCCAGGTAATAAATAAATAATGTTACTAATGATCAGTGGTGTCACCAACTCTTCTGTCAACACTGTATAATGCAACCCAGAGGAAGATGTTGCTCTAGTATGAAGACAGAAGTAGTGGGATTATCCCCAGAGTCTCCATGTGGAGACTCTATTGAGGGAAACACTAAGTAATCTTTAAAAAAAATGGCTTCTTTTTATGAAAATAGTTGCATCTCTTTCTTCTCCCTTAAAAAAACCCCTCAAAAACCCAAAAGAACAAAGAGAGAGAGAGAGAGAGAGAGAAAGAACCTGGGGTTATTAGGTTTTGTGGTAGGAAGTGCCACCATCATGATTGACTTCTCTACTATGAGGTTGACCCAGCACTGGCACAGGTTACTCAGAAAGGTTGCAGAATATCAGTCTTTGGAGATACTCAAAATCCAACTGGATGTGGCTCTGAGCAACTCACAGTCACTGACCCTGCTGGGAGCATGGACTGTGCAAGATGTTTGCCTGAGGCACCCTCAACCTCGTAATTTCTGTGACTTGCAGACTGGAGATGGGTAGAACACGCTTTATGGGTTGTGTTCTCTTGATGGGCATTTCCCATGGGATACTGCAGCCAGAAACTTCCACAAGGACCCTAAGGAGGGGAGGTGATGCTCATCTCCAAGTCCAAGCCACTGAAGTCCCTGGGACACAGGGTATGGCCATGTAAGAGAAGGCATTTTGAAGCGTCATGGTGACATTTGGAAGGTTTCAGGTTTTTGAGGAAAATTTTTGGGTGCATTTTTACTTTATGTCTTTGTACGCTCTGAGTCAATCAGTTATCAGTTCTGGCATTTTTTTCTTTCCTCAGAAAACCAACAACAAAACCAGTGACAGTAATTTTTCCAGCCAGTACTGCTGCAGAAACCAGAGCAGTGTGGAGTGACAGATACATCTTCCTTTGTGTTGACACTCCTTTCTTCAGCATCATTAAAAGGAAAACGAACAGAAAAACATATTTGAAGATACAAATCACCACAGTCTCAGATCTGAAATGGAAAGGAGCCCTGCTGAGAAATCCCATGCTGTCTCTGTTTTCCTCAGACCTGACATAAAGTTGGAGAGAGACAGGCAGGGAAGCTCCTGCAGAATTTTTGTTCATTTTTGCCTTGCTGCTGAGTCTGTAGGACCAATGCCAAGCTGGTCACTGTGGTGTGCGTGGGTGACTATGGGTGGACTATTAGATGGCCTTCTGGACCTGTCCTCATGCAGGGGTAGAAACGGCACTTGGATTTTTTTTTCTTTCTTTGTCCTTTTGAAAGCTGTCCTTGCTGTGATGAGCTCTGGGGCATCCACGGTAAATTCCCATGCCCAACAGGCTGTTCCCTTTCTGTAATTTCCTAATCAACCATAAAAGATACATTTCTAGAGTGAACACTTTGTTCTTACATTTTAGTGAAAAATTAAACATTTGTAGGAAAACCTCAAGCTCTTTTGGACATCCCATGTTCTGGTATTTGCTAATCTTCTGATGTTCTATTTTAATCCTTGCTAGAGTAAATGAGAGCCAGTGGGCACCTGCTGTTTATTCTGTCCCTTCAGTAGAAATGTCCTGTTATGTTCAATTATTGTCCTTTTCCTTAGTTTCTCCTATCATATAAAAGAAAGAATACTTGGCTTTATTCCTATATGCTGAGAAATGTAAAGTGAAATTGGCTGATGCTTTTTGTTTTACTCTCTGAAACACAAAGAAGGGCAATTAATTAGGAAATGTTTCCAACAAAAGGAAAAGGCTTTCCAACAGATTCATTTGCTCTGAAATGCTCGTAAGACCTGGTAAATACAGTTTACAAATTACCAGGTGTCAACAAATGACTGTTATTGGAACAGCATATTTCTGCAAACTGCAAATCCCCTCCCTTATATAAGCCATCTACCTGGAAGTTATTAAACAAGAATTTGCTCATCTGGCAGGTATAATTATGTAGTAATAGTTGAGAAAACAAGCAATATTTTGTGATTATTTGGTACCAAGCTCTGCCTTAGGTACTGAAGCAGATCAGAAGAGTGATGAGTCACCGTGAGACTTTAGGGATGTTGCCTCCTGTGCAAAACCTGATAGTCATATTTTGGACCAGAAAGAATTTTTCTCTTGGTATGTTGCCTGGCATGTGATCATGAGGTAATACTTGCTTTGAAGTAAAGAGGAGGAGAATTTCCTAAAATAAGGTAAACTGTTCTGAAATGCCCAATTCCAATGATGGAGAGGCACAGAGAACAGTTTTGGGATCCTGGGTCTCCTCCCAGGTAATCCAGTACCAATAATAAGGCCCTATCCCAACTTCCACATGCTCTGCTGCACCGCATATGATATGAATGATAAAGTTATCA